GTGGCATTCTAGGAGCTCCCATGAACTGACTTACAACACTAATTGCATATGAAATATCAGGTCGAGTGATAGTGAGATAAATTAATTTCCCAACAAGGCGACGAAATCTGGCCGGGTCATTAAATAGATCACCCTCATCAAACATAAGTTTTATATTTAAATCCATAGAAGCATCAACCGGACGACCACCTAACATACCCGTTTCTTCTAGCAAGTCCAACACATATTTGCGTTGAGATAAACTTATACCTTTCTTGGATCTAGCAACTTCAATACCCAAGAAGTACCTAAGTTTACCCAAGTCTTTAGTGTGGAATCGATTTTGCAGAAACAACTTCAACTTAGTAATGTCTTCAGAATCATCACCTGTGATCACAATATCATCTACATACACCACAAGAAAAATGAAGCCAGCTTTAGTGCACAAGTGAAATACCGAATGATCGGTCTGGCATTTGTTAAGGCCAAATTCTAATGCCGCCTCAGAGAATTTTCCAAACCAAGCCCGTGGAGATTGTTTCAATCCATACAGGGCTTTTTTAAGGCGACAAAAAGTGTGACGATATGCCCCCTGAGCAACAAACCCAGGTGGTTGCTCCATATAAACTTCTTCAACCAAGTCACCATGTAAGAAGGCATTTTTGACATCCAATTGAAACGACGGCCAGATACAATTGGCAGCAATGAAAATAAGTACCCGAATAGAAGAAATCTTAGCAACAGGGGAAAAAGTCTCATCATAATCAACACTATAAGTCTGAGTGTACCCTTTTGCCACTAGACGAGCCTTCAACCGCTCAATAGACCTATCATGAAGGTATTTAACTGTGTAAACCCACTTACAACCAACCGTTTTGGAGCCCGAAGGTAAGGGAACAAGATCCCATGTTTGATTACTGTGAAGGGCATCCATTTCATCTACCATGTCTTCGTGCCAACCCGAATCAGAGAGAGCATCCTGCAAAGTCTTAGGAACAAAAGTAGTAGTACACTTTGGATAAAAAACAAGATAAAGAGGATGAAATATGATGGTAGGAGACAAAGTTAGAAATGGGATGTGCAGTAACGCACGACCGAATACCTTTACGGAGAGCAATAGGTAAATCATCAGGCAAAGGCGTCGATCCGAAGACTCTGAAGGAGATGGAAGGAGCGAAGTCGGCGGTTGAGGAAGTCGAGTATACATGCAATGGGACAACGGAGCGAGGACGTGCGGAAGCAGGAAACAGAGAGGGAACCATTGGCAGAGGTGGCTCAGGAGTAATATAGAGAGGAGTAGTAGAATCAAAAAAATATGGAAGAGACTCAGAAAAGGAGACATCAGCACTAGTAAAATAGCGTTGAAAATGAGGACTATACCAACGATAACCCTTCTGAGTGCGAGAATAGCCAAGAAAAACACACTTAGTGGCAAGAGGGTCGAGTTTATCAAGACCGGGTCCAAGGTTATGGACATAACACACACAGCCAAAGACCCTAGGAGTAAAGATTAAACGATGCAGAGTCGGAAAATAGAACAGAATGAGGAGATTGACCTTATAACACTGACGAGGGCATCCGATAAATGATGACATGCCGTAAGAACAACATCACTCCAAAAACGTTTGGGAACATGCATATGAAATAAAAGGGCACGACAGACTTCCAGGAGATGACGATTTTTACGTTCGGCTACTCCGTTTTGTTGAGGAGTATAAGTACAAGAGGATTGATGAATGATGCCTTTAGCATGGAAATAAGTCTCAAAAGGGTCTGAGAAATATTCTTTGGCATTGTCAGAACGTAAAATTTTAATGGAACACCCAAATTGAGTTTTTATTTCTTTGCAAAAGATTTGAAAAATAGAGAACAACTCAGAACGATTTTTCATTAAAAACAACCAAGTCATACGAGAATGATCATCCACAAAAGTCACAAAATAACGAAATCCATTAATAGAAATATGCTTTATTGGTCCCCATACATCCGAATGAACTAACTGAAAATGACTGCAACACGATTACTAGCTCTCAGTTTGAAAGATATACGACAATGCTTACTAAGCTGACATGCTTCACAACACATGGACTCAACACAACTAAGACTGGGGACTTGATGCTGCAAAACTGAGAAGGATGGGCGGCCGAGACGACAGTACCACTGGAAAGAAGACAAAGATGATTGAAGAGCCGTGGGAGATGGTGCAAGATCGAAGTAATACAAGCCACCTACTTCATGTCTCATACCAATCTTCTTCTTCGTCTTGAGATCCTGAAAAATACAACATGTGGGATAAAATGTAACGGAGCAGTTAAGAGATTTAGTAATTTTACTAATGGACAACAAATTAAAAGGGAATTGAGGAACATATAACACAGAGGAAAGGGACATAGAAGAGGTGAGATGAACAGTTCCCAAACCCAAAACTGTAGTGGATAAGCCATTAGCAAGAGTAACACTTTGAAAGGAAGGAATAGATTGAAAATCAGATAAGAGATGAGAACTACCAGTCATGTGATCGGATACACTACAGTCAAGAATCCAGGGACTTTGACGAGAGGACAAGAGACATGCAGGGACACTACCTGATTGGGCAAAGGAAACCATGGAAGATGAGGTGGAAGGCCGTTGTTGAGACAGAAACTAAGCATATTCATCGCGGGGAATCGTAACCATAGCAGGCTCAACAGACACGTGTGGAGCAGGGGGTGTGGCAGAAGAATCCCTGTCATTAGAATTAACTTGATGTGCATAGGAAGAAGGTTGCAGTTTCCCATGAAGATTCCAACAGTAATTGACAGTATGATTAGTAAGACCGCAGTGACTGCACAGTTTCGAGTCTCGACCTCTGCTATGACTACGACCACGAGTAAAACGACCGCCACCGCCACGGGAAGACTGAAAGCCACCCTGATTCACAACTAAGGCAGAAAGTTCACTGCTAGGAGGAGCAGTGACACCACTTGAAGAACCCCCTGAAGTGCCACTTGATAAAGTAGCACGCTGGAGTTGTGATAACATATCAAGAAGAGAGGGAAGTGCAGGGCTACCCAAAATCTGTGCTCGAACAGGTTCATACTCTGGTGACAACCCGGTGAGAACCCGAACAACATTAAAATCCTCACGTTGTTGTTGCATACTCTTCACATCAGAGGTGATGGGTTGATACAAGTTCATTTCTTCACAAAGTCCCATTGCCCGTGAGAGATATTCTTCTAGACTGTGAGTACCTTGCTGGAGGTCAAAGAATTGCCTGCACACCTCATGAATTCTGGTTATATTGCCAGTACCTGAATATAACTGTTGGAGTTTGGTCCATATCTCCTTGGCAGTGTCCAAATACAATAAGTTGGAGCTAATATGAGGTTCAATACAATTCAGCATTAAAGAAATGATTTGAGCATCCTTTTGTTCCCATGAATTGAAATCAGCATCACTGTCCTTAGGTTTATCCTTAACCAAATGAGAGCCAAAGCCTTTGGCTTTCAGGAAAATGGCTACTGACTTGGCACATAAGATGTAATTTTTGCCATTGAGCTTAATTGAAGTCATGGGAGGATTGAAGGAGGCAGAGGATAACAGATCGGAACTGGTAGCCATGGAGAAGAACCAAAAAAAAAAAAAAAAACGAACCTGGAAAAAAAAAACCGCAGAAATTGTATTCTGGCCGGATCTGGTCAAACGGGCCGGATCTAGCTATCCTGATTTTAGTAAACCAGGGTTGGAATAGCTATCCCGGTTTTAGTAAACCAGGGTTAGAATAACATAACCATGTAGCCAAACACGGTTCTTCTTCTTCACACCTTCACGGATGCTGGTGAACAATGCAGCAGAGGCTACGACAACCCAATCACACGCAACGACCGAATTAATAAGCAGCGACTGCTGTAACTTCCGGCCAAAAAACGCGAATCGAGGAACCTTGCCACTGCAAATCGAGACAGCAGATGTTGGCGAGCTCGCTGACAACCAAAGACGAGCTGCCGGCGACGACGAACAAGGCAGAGACGACAATGAACAAGGCTGCAGATCTGACGATGGTGGATGAGGAGCTGCCGATGACGACAAATGAGGAGCTGCCGGCAAAGACACCAACACCACAATCGCGATTCCGATCTTATACAAGAACAACCCAATTACAGACTTTCACACCCATGATCGTGTAGCTCTGATACCATGTTCAAAATCATGAGAGAGAGAGAGAGAGAGAGAGAGCAAGACTGTGTATATTGTATATCTCATTAACCCTTAAGCCTACAGTGGCTTATATAAAAGAAAACAAATAACCTAATTATACAAGGTTACCTAATTACACAATTATCCTAACAACTATGGGTAATTACATAATGACCCAACATAAATATATATATACATAAACATTCTAACACTATTAATAACTTTCGGAATCCCATATAGTTATGACCTCGATCAGATCGACTCTTTTTTGAATCTCAATACGTGCAATTCCCTTGACACAGGAGGATATTCGCATATTTTTTTTGTACATAATTCTTAATACAATCCCGTATTTTTTTTATCTTCTTGGAGACCTCAGAATAATTTGTTGGTTGTGCAAACCAAAGGGAATGGTGACCTTGGGTTATACCAAGTGGATTTATTTTTGTCCCACACTCCCTCACTACTATATATCATTATACGTCATATCTATCAACTTATTTTCCATTTAGGTTTTTTTTTTTGAAATCATTGAGATAGTCTATCTCTACATATTCAACTAAGGATATATCTGTTATTACAATAGTTATTTGACAAGTAGGCTATGAAGCACGAACACGGACACGGGTACATTACGACACAGATACGGATACGGCGATATGGCAAATTTCAAAAAAACAGGACACGGACACGGCAAGGATAAGGCAATAAAATAATATATATATATATATATATATATATATATATATATATATATTATTTTTACTCAATTTCTAATTTATATTTAATAAACATAACTTTTAGGCCATTATTCTCTTAAAAAATATAAGCCCAAACACCTTGAAAATATAAACAAAAAATAGGAGGTACATATTTGTAACTAAAAGTAAAATTATTATTCTTATAACCGGTTCTAAAAGATAAGATTGCAATCTTATCACTTCTTTCTTCCCTAAGGTTTTTATTACCTTTTTTTACATGGTTAACTTTAGGGAACGAGACGACAGAGGGGAAGCATATGCTTCTAACAGGAATTGATAGCAAAAAAGCAACCTATTTTCGAAGCTTTTCATCGGCCAAGAGTCTGAAAATGCAAGTTCTCTCTTCTCCTGGACTTTCTATCTCCTTCATCTCTCTCCCTCAATCTGTCTTTCTATGAATACACACAACCATATACATGTATATATCTCTTTATCCTTTTTTTTCTTTGACAAAAAATTTGAACTCGTGTCCTATGCGTATCGCCGCTGTGTCCTTCGCCGTGTCCGGCATGAAAAAACAGATTAAAAAATATGACACCTCTACAGAGGTGTTAGACATGTGTTGGAGCCTCGGACACGTGTCCGACACTGGTACGACAGCCCATTCCCAAGTGTCGGTGCTTCATAGCAAGTAGGTCTTTTTATTAGATAACTACGGCCTCGAGCTCTAGGTTTTAATTTCTTAACGGTAGTACCCTTGTTGACTTCAGCTTTATTAATGACTAAATTTGTTTCATTGGAACCTAGACTGTAAGTGGCATTTGTTGCTGCAGAATAAACCAATTTAAAAATGGGATAACATGCTCGATAAGGCATGAGTTCTAGCATCATATGTGTTTCTTCATATGAACGTCCACGTATTACTCTTCGCACTTTGTGAGCAAACATAGACATATATCGACCGAAGGTGTATACTCTTACTTTTTTCTTCCTTAGCATAAATTTTCCTCTTACTAATGAACGATAAGCATTTATATTAATTTTATTAATCGCTATTTGCATGTCCTCGGAAATTTAAAGTAGGCGCAAATTTTCCTAATTTGTGTCCAACCATACGATCTGTTATATAAATAGGCAAATGTTCCCTGCCATTATGTATAGCAATAATATGCCCGATCATTGTAGTAGGTATAATGGTAGATGCTCGGGACCAAGTTACTATTATTACTTTTTCCACTTTTGTGTTAAGCTAATCAATTTTTTTTTTTGGGCTAAAATCACAAAACCCCCCTATGCTTTCAAAACTGTACATAAAACCCCTAATAGAATTAAATATGTCCCTCAACTAACAAAACCCATCATTTTACCCCAAACCCGCAATCGACCCATTAATTAGACGGTGAAATGTCAAATTTGACCTTGACTTCTAATATTATATTAAACACTAAAAATTATTTTAAGTTACAAAAATATCCCTGAAGATAGATCAGGGTTAGACAACAGCAATGGCGGCGAAAACAATGATTGGAAGAGGGTTTCTTCGCCGCTGGGTTGCTGACAAAAATTTAAAGGCCGCCCATATAATCATGATATATACAGTGTATATATATATATATAATAATAATAATATTACAAGACCCAAGAAGATTATTAACAAAACCTAGAAGAGACCTTCAAATACCCTATACACCGGAAAAGATTTTGGAGCAAAAAAAGTATGAAATTGAAGAAAGGTTTGGTTTCGAAGTTCTAAAAGAAGGTGGAGAGATCACCGTCGGTGAGAAGAGAGTTGGTGGGGTCCTTCGACAAGAACCAAGTCGTCACTGGATTCGTTGGTGATGGTTCTGTGTTCAGAGGCGAGGAATCGTAGATGGAGTGCGAATTGAGGAGTAGACCGCACTCGGAGGATGGAGTGCGTTGAGGAGCAGACCGCACTCAGAGCAGACTGTATCTCCGATCTAGTTATCAAACAGCATCTCTGCGCTCCGCTTGCAGTCCGAGTTGTACGCGTCCATGGTGGTATTCACTTGCCAGAAAACGAAGACTAACTCCAGGATTGGTGTCAGAACATACTTGCAATATAGTGAACAATACTTCACCTTGCCGGAATAGTGAAGCCATCATCGCCGGGATCCTCTCTTATCTTAACCATCGTCAAAACAACCCTCACCCTGTTCGGCATTTCTAGTTGTCACCTCTTCTTTGCCGACAATCTTGCTTCATTTGCCCACGGCGAGCTTCACATCAGTCGGTGGGTGGTCTGGGTGGAGTCTGATTATTGATATATACAGCCACAAGATTCTATTTTAAGAAGAATAAGGTGGAATCTGAGTATTGATATATATATATATGTGTGTGTGTGTGTGGATATATGTATATAAGTTGTGCCTGAAATCAATGAGGAAGGAAAATGTTTGCCTGTTTGGTGACAAAATGACGTAGTTGAGTGGGTGGAATCTGAGTATTGATATATATATATATATGTGGATATAAGTATATAAGCTATACGTTAATTTGGACTAAATAATGAAAGGGTAAAATAGTCACTTACAAAAATGATTTTTAAATTTTAATTTAATTATTAAATACTAAGGTCAAATTTGTCATTTCGCAATCCAATTAACGGGTCAATCACGGGTTTGGGGTAAAATGATCGGTTTTGTTAGTTGAGGGACCTATTTGATTCTATTGGGAGTTTTATGTATAGTTTTGAAACTATAGGGGGGTTTTGTGATTTTAACCTCTCTTTTTTTTTAATAAATGATTTGCTATAAAAGAGTTTTATTTTAGTGAAAGTGTCACAGCTTACTCCACTTTTTTTTTTTTTTTTTTTTTTTTTTTAACAAAGAAATAAATTCCATTTTCTCTCCTATTTACTACGGCGACGAAGAATCAAATTATCACTATATTTATTCCTTTTTCTACTTCTTCTTCCAAGTGCAGGATAACCCCGAGGGGTTGTGGGTTTTTTTCTACCAACTGGGGCACTCCCTTCATCACACCCATGGGGATGGTCTACAAGGTTCATAATCACTCCTCTTACTACAGGAGGCTTACCTAGCCAACATTTAGATCCGGCTCTACCCAAACTTTTCTGGTTCACCCCAACATTTCCAACTTGTCCGATTGTTGCTGAGCAGTTTTTAGATATCAAACGGACTTCCCCAAAAGGTAATTTTAATGTGGCCGATTTCTCCTCTTTTGCAATCAGTTTCGCTATAGCACCTGCTACTCTAGCTAATTGTCCACCCTTTCCAAGTGTGATTTCTATGTTATGTATAACCCTGCCTAAAGGCAAATCGGTTGAAGTAGATTCTTCTTTTTGATCAATAAAAACCCCTTCCCAAACTATACAAGCTTCTTCCAAAGTATACGGCTTTCTGGACGTAGATGATGATATCTGTACAGATGGATCTTAAATATATCGTATAATGAAGTACCACACAAGTGGATATATAGGAATCCAAATCTACCAAATCACTCATGTGATGATCTTCTACATCCTAGGTCTTCAACGATGGATGCTTCGTGTATTTTAAGGGCAAGAAATTATTGCCTTAAATCTTCATTCCAAGTTGAACCAAGGTCCTTTCCATGAATTTTAGGTGATATGCGGATGCTAATTCTTTCTACTTCTTTGGTATAATGACATATCAAGAGGCCGACAAGAAGGAATAACCAAGAAATTTTGTGTTAAGTACCTTCCAAATAAGCCATGCGTCTCCAAAGACCTAAACCATTTAAATGAACATTCCAGTGGTGGTTATTTTTGGGTGTGAACATCCCCAAACCAAACCTCGCCATATTTTTCCAAATTTACATTCAGTTGTCCGCATTATCCCTCTTGCAGGGATTGTGTCACAAACATTATTCAGATACAATTTGAAGGATTTCGTAGGTTCATTGATAAGGGCTTGAGAGAAGAACTTTATTCAGTGGAGACTTGAACTACATACATGCATAGTTTTTTAAAAAGGTAAAGCCAACAGAAATATAGAAACGACAATCTCCCAACCCCTGAACAACCCCTCCAATTACTCCCTGAAAGTCCAGCAAGTGATGAATCCTTTACCCTTGCTCATATTCCTCGACCCTTTGATGAAGGACCCCAGGCCTGCCAGCACAATAAGAGAATGATTGAGCCAATCGGCTTGCTTGTACAGTTGAGGACTGCTCGGCGCCTCCCCCATCTTAGGCACATCTCTCTTTCTTAGTTTCACACTGGCCTAATGAATGAAAGTCGGTCTTTTAGTAAGTGTATATAAGCAGCTATTTAGTGTACAAGCAGTTCTTTAGTGGCCGGACCAAAAGGGACGTACGGCGGAGGTTGGTTGAAGATGATGTTACGTGGCGTTCAGAACCAGTCTTGAAGTGAATGAATTAGAAAGAACAAAGAAGTAAGGAAATGAGAAGATTCTTTATTGAACTATATCATGAACAGATCCTCCCCTCCACACCAATCACGAGTTTTTCTCCATCACCCTTAATGCTATGTTTTGAAAAATAGATCATTGATTGAAGAGCCAGGTCAGGAGCTCTTCGGGCCGATCTGATCTCTGGTGGTCATTCTGCCCGGCCCACCCATTCCCATGGCCATGGAATTGGACATCTGCACTTTACGCGCGGTTTGTTTACTTCGTACTTAAATTCTGGGCTCCAAGAGATAGAATCTCATTAATTGGGGAAAAAAAATAAAATAAAAATAAAAATAAATAAAAATAAAAAATAAAAAAGGGCTTCAATCCATTGTGATTTGGTTCCTTGGTGTTGACATCTCTGCCTGATGGTGAATTCAGTGGACAAATTGTAAAACTAGATCAGCAGGGATTAATATTTGTGATTGAAGATTAAAGATCGAGACCAGATTGAATAACTAGGAGTCTTCAAGTTTCTATGATCACACACCAGATGAAAATTTCACCAGGAGGTTTGTACTTATGAATTCAGCTCAGCCATGCCAGAGTATCTGATAGGATATGGAATTAAGAATGGCTGCATGGCAGGTTGTTGTTGCCTGAAGGAGGTCCGTCCACGATGGATGCATTGTGTATTTTAAGTGCAGGAAATTATTGCCTTAAATCTTCATTCCAAAGTTGAACCAAGTTCCTTTCCAAGAATTTTAGGTGGTATGGGGATGGTAATTCTTTCTACTTCTTCAGGTATAATGATAGATCAGGAGGACGACATGAAGGAATTACCAAGAAATTTTGTGTCAAGTATCTTCCATAAGTCACTTTCTTCAAAGTAACCACCTAAACCATCTAAAAGAACAATCCAGTGGTGGTTATTTTTGCCTGTGAACATCCCTAAAGCGAATTCCTTGACAACAAGTCATGCCTTTGCTTCCTAATTATACCAAAAATTAGAGGAGGGATTAGTTATCTTGCCATAGTTTTCCAAATTTACATTTAGTTGTCTCCATGATCCCTTTTGCTGGGATTGTGTCACAAACTGTTGGCGTATTCAGTGGACAAAATGTAAAACTAGATCAGCAGGGATTAACCACACATTTGTGACCGAATATTAAAGATCGAGACCAGATTGAATAACTAGGATTCTTCAAGTTTTTATGATCACACGCTAGACGGAAAATTTTACCCCAAGGTTTGTACTTATGAATTCAGTTCAGCCATGACAAAGCATCTCTTAGAATATAACTTATACATGATTACTTTTTCTTGGAAAACTCTCTCTCTCTCTCTCTCTCTCTCTCTCTCTCTCTCCCCACAAAGCATAAGCAGTCAAATTTAGACAATTGTACATGTTCTTTTTACTAATCCATATTTCCTGGTATTGTACATGGTTGACATGCTTGTCAGTCATTCACTTATGTTTAAGATGACAGAATGATTGATTGTCATTGTATCTTTGTCTTGCCAAAGTCGCATTCAATGTACATTGTCTTGCGAACATTTATACTGAACATTTCGATTTAAATGTCTTTTTGAGGCACACCTTCCGATTTAAGCAATTTTAACATCAATTTTCACTCATAACAAAGCATTCAAAAAGATCATAGAAACAGTATTTTCATCAATACAAGTATGAAAAATTGCTTCTGCATAAAAGTATTGTTTCTTAAAATAAATCATTCACTGTACATACGACATAGTATAAAAGTTTATCTTTGTTCCACACGACAAAATAAATGGCACAAAGTATTGGAAGCAAAGTCAAACAGTTCAATACTAATATGGGGTTAAGTGCACTTAACACCCCTGTAGTATACGCGATGCGCACGATGCGGCCCTACTTTTAAAACTGAGCTGAACCCCCCCCCCCCCCCCCCCCATCTTTCTAAAACCCCTTTTTGGTGACATAAAGTAAATGTATTATTGCGTTTTTTCCCTTTAACATTCCGAAACTACGCCTTACTGGTTTCTTATATATATTTAACCCATCTCTCTCTCTCTCTCTCCTCCAGCTCTCTCTCTCTCTCTCTCTTCGCCCTTTACGACAGTAAGGGTATTAAAAATTCTGAAAACCAGTGACTGATATATGTATATTGAAGTATTAAAAAAAGTGCTATACAAAGTCAATTGATTACCAACAGGCCAGTGGCCTAGCGGTACCAGACCCTTACTTCCCAAAGGGAGGTCAGGGGTTCGAGCCTCAATAGAGGCATGTATGTGTGAGTACCAACTAAGAAAAAGAAAAGAAGAAAAAAGTCTAGTGATTCAACGAATTACACAAGATTGTTCCTAAGTAGGATAGTTTACAATAAAAGGACGAAATAGAATCAACCATATATAGACATGTAGTTTTCATAATTTTATGGTTTCTAAATGTTAGTTCCTAGTCACACTGCTTAGCTGAGCTCTGACTTCTTTAGACCATACAGATATTTAATCTGGTAGGGGGGCTCTAGTTGGCTGACCTGTTTATTATGACGTTTAATGCAGAATTAGTAACTTAATAAAGCTAGATCACAGCCATTTCCAAATCCAACCTCCCTTTATTATGAAAATTTCATGACAAACTTTGAAACTAGAAAGTAGAAACCAATGATCAAATATTTGAGGACTGTTTTTGTAATTGTCACACTACCCTCAACGCAATTCATGTGATATAAATTTCAGACCATGAAAGTTCGAAAAATTAACATAGATATAAGAACCAAGGAATCACATAATTTTTTACAACTTTCTAAAGAATCCAATGTGTGATATAAAAACCTAGGAATCATATAGTTGCATTCCATTCGACAAGATGAGAGCAGAACCTTCTCAAATGGAAGCTTTGCTCTTAGCTTGTCTGGTAGTACTTGTACTGGCTTTGCAAGTAAGACAGGTCAATCTCTAGAGTCGCATTTTTAAAAAAAAATTATGAGCTCAAGCAGAACTGAAAGTGAAGACTCTCAAGGAGTCCAAAAGATCAATAATCTCCTCCATGGAATTACAATTTCTCCCTAAAACCCAATTTGGCCTTATGTAGCTTTTGAGGGATGCGTTCCCCTTTTGAAAGCCTTTTCTAATGCATATATTACTTATAAAAAAGAAAAAGAAAAGAGAATAGCACATAAGCATTTTACCAACAATCCATCACTACCTGCTGGCATACTTCGATTACATCTTCATTACTGTTTCCTTAGAGTTAGTCCATAATTTCCACACACACAAACACTGTCATGTTTTAGTATGACACTGTTAAAATATGTTAATTATCTAGTACAATTACTTGCCTAGCTAGTACCACTTTCTATTTTCATGTCAATTTATTTCGAGTCATTTCCAATATATGCTTTGACGTTGTAATTTTCCAGTTGAATTACTTGGTCTCATTGAATTACTTGTAATTTTATGTTAAAATGTGTTATCTAGCTGAATTAATTGCCTGAGCTAGTACACCTTTTATTTTCATGTCAATATATTTCGAGTCACTTACAATATATGCTTGTTAGAGGTTGAAATTTTTGGGGATTCGTCTCACTGCAGGATTGTGATGCTTCTGTTCTTATAGACAGCACAGACGAGAATGTGGCGGAGAAAGAGGCTCCTCCTAATTTAACTTTGAGAGGATTTGAAGTGATCGACGAGATTAAATCAGAGTTGGAAGCAATGAAAGGGGTTGTTTCTTGTGCAGATATACTGGCATTGGCAACCCGGGACAGTGTTGCCTTTGCTGGAGGATCAGTTTATGCTCTTCCAATTGGGCGGCGTCGCGGCGAGATGGGACTATTTCCAGTATCAGTGATGTTCACATTCCTGGCCTTCTTTTTCTATTGCTGATGCTTCAAAAGCTTTCCAAACTATCAATCTTGAATTAGCAGACCTTGTTACTTTACTAGGTAAACCTCATAACTGAAAAAACTATACATATATTTAACCCTAATTTTGCATTTCTATTTAATACTTCAATCTCAAGTCTTCACATGGACAATGTCCAATTTGGTCATTTCCCATTTGGACCATTTTTTATATAAAAAGAAATTGTAAGAAATGTTGTTGTAAGGGTATTTAGGTCTTTGAATGAGTTTAATGAGTCAGGAGGTCCTTATTTGCAGGGTTTTTAAACTTGAGGGGGTTTGGTGAACATCAGATGTGTATATGCACTATAAGGATTCTAGAGGGTTGTTAAAGTGCATTTAAACCTACGGGCAAGAAAATGATAAAAATGAACCTATTTGTTCCTTAGCACTAATGAATCTATAAGTAATTAGTATCCTAGATGCCCATTTAACAAATATATACAAATTGTTCTCTAGAGAGAAAAAAATAAAATAAAAGGGGAAAAAGGACTGACAGGATATACACGAGGAGCATAGAAGAGACAACAAACATAAACACAAATCTCAATTGAGAATATAATTTAGACAAGCTCAAACATACCTATCGAGTTTTCCACTTTCTCAAAAGTTCATCATAGACAAAAGGCTTCTTTTCTACAGACAAGCTTTGTTTCAACTTTGCCAAAGTGGAAGACTTCAACTTGATGCCTCGATCAATCATATCCTCAGCATACTTAACAGCTTCCGGGACTCTATTTATATCACGAAGCCCCAGAACTAACAAATTCCCAGTTTCCTCCAAGTCCGAATCATAATTCTCAATCATGCATTTCCAAATTTTTATCGCGATATACGGGTCTTTATTTTCCATGTATATCCTCACTGCTGATCCACAATTTGAGTGGCTTGGGACACACTCATTTTTAATCATCTCCATAAATAATGGTGAAGCCTCCCTTAACCTCCTATTCTTAACCAAGAACTGAAACAACACATTATAAGTTTGAGAATCCGGGAAAGCACCATAACTAACCATCTCGTCCAACAACTTTTCAGCAGCATCAGGCTCCTTAGGATAACAATGTAAAACAAGCATTGAATTATACATCTCGGTATTGGGTCGAAAATCATTCTTCCCAACCATTGAACCCCAAAGCAACTCAGCAAACCTTGCATCACCTTTCTTCACACAGTTCTCAAGAGCAATCTTAAAGAATTTCATCCCCGGATAACACCTCCTGTCAGTCATTGTTTGGAAGAACTTCATAGCTTCACTCATACCACCATTGGGATCCTTAAGCAAAGTAATCATAAACGAATCATAAGCAGGCACATTCAAAGGGTTCCACCCGATCTCAACCACCATTTCTTGAAAGGTTTTTCTAGCACCATCTACATCCCCTTCATTCTCCCACCCCTCTAACAAAATTGCATATGAGTCTGCGTCCGGAAAAATCTTATACTTGGCAACACTCATAAATTCCATTGCTTTTGATGTCTTCCCATTCCTACAAATCGCGCTAAGTAGAGAATTCAATGCCACAATGTCTGGTGGACAACCATATTGACCCATAACCTCAAATGTCATGATAGCTTCCGGAACACGATCGGCACTCACATAACTACCGAAAACAGATGCAAATGTAGCCAAAGAAAGCAAACCTTCCTTCCTCATCGACTTAATGGCATCCCACATAGGGTCGAACAAACCATTCTTGCCCAACAAATCAACAACCAAGTTCCAAGCATAGGGACTATGCTGGTCATTGAGTTGAAATCCGGACCACTTGAAGAACTTCACGGCGGGGCCAGGGAACCCGTAGGACAGTTTCAGGACCTCTTCAACATCTTGTTGATAAACCCTAATGCCAGTTTTTTCAAGAACTTCCTCGATGCCCAAAGAATGAGTGTTGGATATGATTTCACAGAGTAATTTAACTTTGGGTGGCAAATTAGGTGTGTCTAGATATGAAGGGAAGATTGGACGCTTACCCTTTTGTTGTTGTTGTTGCTTCTGATTTTGAGCTGAATGTGTTGTTGGAGGGTTTGAGGTTGATGAAGGTCGGGGCTTCTTCATGTGGTCGTTCCTTAACGATGACGGTGGAGAATCTAAGAAGTTAGAACGCGTATTATTCTTGCCCATGATTTATTTCTTGATGAAACGCAGAAAAACCCTAAAAAAAGAAAGGGCTTGTTCGGAGAATTTTTAGTGAAGGATCAGAAACCCTAGATTTGGATGGAGAGGGCACAGAATTCTTATCGGTTGTCCCCAGTCCCCACTCCAGTAGTTCGGTTCTTGGGCTTGGATTACGGGTACGGTGGGTTGGGCAGGCTCTAATGTAGCCCAATCCAACCCAAACTCTTTTAACTCGACTGCAACTTATTTTTAAATCAATCTGGGTGTAGATTATAGGAATAGGATTAATTTGAGATAGCTTCGGGTTTAGTTAAACATACATGTAAAGATTCTTTAAACTAAATGTAATTGTATAAGAAATTATGAAAATAAATTAAGAAATTAATTTTCTAAATTATTATTAATATATGATATTCAAGATTTATAAGAAAAATAAGAAGAAAAATTCTGATCACAATTATATATACACTTACAATTATAAATACATAAAAATTTGATGGGATTGGGCTCAAGTTGTTGATAACTTAGTCCAAACCAAACTTCAATTAAGTTTGGGTTAGTTCAACCAAAAACCGACTCTAATTGTAAAATTGGATCTCCAAGTTGATAACAAATTATCCTAAACCAACTCTAATTGTGTACAACAAGTGTTGTAATTTTGTGTGGGCCTTTTAAAATTATCATTGGGCTTTAAATGATGATAAGAGGCCCATCTTTGATTAGATGGGATGCCAAAATGTTTCCCACTTACCATCTCTCTTTTAATGTGGCAGACATGCAAAATTAATCAAAGAATATTAAAATTTATATAATTAATAGTACTATTGTACTTATTCATCAAAATTAAGGATGATAATTATGGTACCCCTGGATCTTCGGATGCGAATTGGCCAGGCCCACGCCCGATTATCCGAGGATATCAAACCAATTAGCAATAATCGAATACAGAATACAATTAAAACCAAAAGAGATAAATAAAATTTGCAGAAATGAAAACTAAAATGACAATCTAATAATTGAAACCTCAGAATAAATATTTCCATTGATAAATAAAACTATTCTGTTACAACTGATCATCCACGAATACAAATCGTTCTCCAAATTATACAATTCGGGAATTCATTTAGTGGACCCCTAAGATATTCCACTGAACTCAAATGACTGGAAATAAAATCAAAGCCTAAAACATGAAACAAAATCCTACGGCATCGGTGAAGTGAATTACTGTATCTGTTCAGCATGATCCAACTCTAAAACTGGAACTAACGCACACCTGTAAAAATAAGAGTGGGTCAGGTTCACATGCAAATTCTTCTCTAACTGCAATCCAAAAAGTGACCCGATACGCAGATACACCCTAGATATCTTAACAATAGCTATCTAGTCCATACATATATATATATATATATATCCATACTAAGGGACATTCACTAGACTACCATAGGGGTCTCAACTTGAATAGAAGGCAACATGCGAAAACGCACCCAGAGGTGGGCATGAGTACCTAGACCTAACAAGGTACACCTCAACCTACTATAGCCAGCTACGCATCTACTGCATATACGCACCCTAACTAACGAGGTTGAGACTCAAACTCATCTCGTGGTACCATAAAAATATATTTAAAATCCATTCATATCCATCCGTAGGAAATCTAATAAATCGTTCAGCTTATTTAACCGCACAGACTTATATAAGAGATCCAATAAGTCGTTCAGCTTATTCAACTGCACAGACTTAAATAAAAGATCCAATAAGTCGTTCAACTTATTCAACCGCACAGACTTAAATATAAGGAAAATTATGTTTTTATAATTCGCACCCTTATTCCAAAATAGGTAAGACTGAGTATTTTGAATCAGTCTGTCCCTAGTATGCCACCGTCCCATACCAGTGCATACAATCCACAAAATCCTTATAATTGATGGAACAAGTAAAGTTGTTCACCAATTAAAATTCATAAGGTAGGAATTAGCGTTTTGAGCTAAACCATACCTTGTATATCATCGTCCCATACCGGTGCATACAATCTTCCATATCCATGTAAATTACAACATATAAATAATAAACAAGTAATTTACAGTCCAAAACCAAATATCCATATCATTGTAGAAAAGTGATTAAACTTTTAGCAATTTAAATCCAAGATCTAAACCATGTAATTGTAAGAAATGGTTTAATAGTTCAACAACCAGCATCCAGAGCATGCATAGATCAGTTTTAATAAATTAACAACTCTATCATGCATTTAAATAAGTTTTATAATCATGTTATAGTCCAAACAATTGCTAAATTAATTTAAGCAATTTAGTTCTTTCCATCCGGTAACAGAGTACTGAGTTCTATACTCGTATTCTGTTTTATCCTTTAGCACAGAGCCATACACTATGTCACAAGTCTAATTTGTTAATTAAAAGACTCCACCATGCATCTAAAACTTAATTTAGAATAATGTTATAGCATCTTAAATTGTCAAATTAAAATTAGACAATTAATTTCCTTCCAGTCGTTAACCGTACGCACATTTGTTAAATAACGCACAGTTAATTCCATTAATACAAATGGGGTATTTTATGTAATTCAAGACCTTAATTACATGTTAAATTAATTATTGAAACCCCCATCAAAGTCCTAAAACTGTTCCAGAACCCTAAGTGCCCAAACAGTAGCTTAAAAGGTTACAGTACGTATAAAATTGCATCAAATTGGGAAGAGCCTGCTCTTGGCAAAGTAGAGCATGCTCAAATCAGCCTAGAGCCGCCTCTTTTAGAGGTAGAGCCTGCTCTACTTCCTCTAGAGCAGGCTCTACTCATGGGGGAGCTGGCTCCTCCCTCTACGGAACCGGCTCTCTCCCCTTATGAGAGCTTCAGTCCATCTTTGCTCCGTTCCGACCATCTGCTTCTGCTCCGGCCTGTTTCTACCCTTCAGTTGGTTTCTAAAACTGATCCTAAGGGTCTTATTAATACCGAATAGCATCCCAATGGTTTGATAACAACAATTGGAATCAAATATAAAGATTAAATTTGCTACCGAACTAAACACACTTTAGAAACAAAATGAAACTATTTTGCAACAACAGTTCCATTCCAACCCCTTTGTTCCTCTTCACTACTAAACTTAGGAACCTTATCTAACTCCCATACATCCCCATGGTTCATTTACAGTAGTTAAAAGCAAGTACAGTAACTAAAATTACAACAGTATTAACATGTCATAAGAAGCAAAACTGAGACATACATGCACGAATTGTAACAGATTTGATTACAACACAAACAGATCATCACTAAATCATACAATAAACATGTAAGTTCCAGTTTATAATTTATTTAACCCTAGAGACTACCTAGGTGCACAGAACACAAGCCAGAGGGAAAGAGGAAAAAAAGAACTTGCCTCTCAGTTCCGGTTTGAAACCTTTCAATGTCGTCTTCCTCCTAGACTTTCCGGCTATCCTTAGCCACCGTCCAAGCCTCCTACTGCTCTAGTTCTAACCCTCGAATAGTCCTTGACCTTTCTCCTTGGTCTGGCCTATCATCTACGACCAAAAACTCCCAACTGTGCCTCTCAGTTTCTCTCAAACCTCTTTGTACAAAACCAACACTTTGTTTCTTCCAAAACCCTAAACCAATGTGATCACTGTATTTATAGACGTAAAACACTAAACCCTAATCCTTGTTTAATTAGAACCAAAGCCCTAACATAAACCTTAGTTGGCCCATATAGTAATCTAGGTTAAAATATACATCAGACACCTAAAACCCTAGGAAATCGTATACTTATATATTTATAGACCATTCCAACTCTTAAGTCTAATTAAAACCCTAGACTGTAATGTATTCGGCCCATAAAACAAATCCTAATTTATAAACTATGTTGCTCCCAAAATCTAAAATCACGTTAAAAAAGTTAAAACATTTAATACATTTAAATTAAACAACATATACAACTAATTCATTACTCAATTTAAACAATTAACAAGGAATTCAATTATTCAGACAAAACAAAGTAATCAATTAACCAACCCACATAAAGAAAAATAATTAATCAATTAAACATAAACACATTATCCACATAATCACATAAAATACTTAAAATAAATTTATAAAATCCCAATTATATTCTTTTTAATTTTAGGGGTATTACAATAATTCGGCGGGTTTGAATGAGTTTTGGACTGATCATGAATGGGCAAGTCAATAGTGGGTCAATAACCAATTATTAACTCATTTATGATAGGTGATAAAAGGGTTGGGTGTTAAATGGGCTAGTTAATACTTAATACACACCCAACCCAATTACCCAAATATTTTTATATACAAATTGTCAAATTATTTTAATTGTTGAATACCAATAAAAAATATAAAAAAAATATTTTTATATTAAATTTATTAATTTTTTGGTCTCTCGTTACAATTTTTTTCCTTTTATTTATTTATTTTTATTATTAAATTTTTTTTAAGGAAAAAGTTACTAAACAACTTACTTTCAGAGTATCAAAGCCCAAAAAAATGAAAGAGCTGATAGAAATGGAGAGAAGAGAGAGGAAAAAGGGAGAAGAGTTTTTTTTTTCTTTTTTTTTTTCAAGGCAAGAAGTATTAGAAGTGAGATTAGTAGATGTAAAGAGACAAAGCCTAACACTCCAAAGTCTACCGAAGGCACTAACCCACTGGGTTATGAAGGTATATGCAAAAAAAGGAAAAGAGATAGAATGGGAGAGTTCACAAGAAAAACGGAGGAGAGAGAAACAAAAAGAAGAAAGAGAATATGAGGAAAAAAGAAAGACAATAGGAGGAGAGAGAAAAAAGGGAGAAGAGAAAGAAAGGAAGGAAAGATAAAAACAAGAAGAGATAGAGATATGAACAGAAAATATTAATATTAATGATAAGCAGTGCTTGCCTCATACCGCAACCTCCTTCTTATAATGAGGTAGCCTAATAAAATATCAACATGTTTTAAAGTTTTAAAAGAAAAAAAAAAATTATGACTACATGGAATAGAATCTGATTCTTCCCCTCTTTTTCATCAATGCTATTAAGTGAAACAAGACTCTCCACATACAAAACCGCTTGAGAAAAAAGGACAATTATAAATTTTCGTAAATGTTTTTTCTTTAGTATT